CCACATTTATGAGGTACCTAGAGTGGTCAAATTCATAGAGACAGAAAGTAGAATGGTTGTGCCAGGGGGGCTGGGGGGGAGGGGAAATGGGGAAATTATTGTTTCCTGGGTATGGTGATGAATTCAGTTTGCCATGATGAAAAGTTTTAGGGATGGGTAGTGGTGACACTGAATATATTTAATGCCATTGAATTGCACACTTAAAAATAGCTAAGATGGTAAATTTCATATTATGCATATTTTACCACAATAAAAAAAAGTTTTAAAAAGTCGGCTCTTCATTCCAAACTACATTACCTGTCACTTCACGGACCCCAGGAGAAAATCAGGAGATTAGGGACTCAGCCAAATTAGTCTCTAGGCCTCAGTCTCATCATCTGTGAAATGGAAGAGTTGAGTGGAGAATCTGTGATTCCAAGTTGAGATGTTATGTCAGAAGAGGAGAGCTTTGGGGAAAATAACACTATGGAAAGTAAGGTGAAAAAAAGAAAGAAAGAACGAAAGAACGAAAGAACGAAAGAACGAAAGAAAGAAAGAAAGAAAAAGAAAAAACAACGATGCCCAGGACTATCGAAATGAACACTGACACCTGCTAGACTTTGAGAATTGACTACAGGTCAGACGTCAAAATTTTTTATTTAAAATTTATTTAGAATCCTTCAATATAGTGATTGAGAGTTCACCTCCACAAGATCTTTTTTTTTTTAAGATTTTATTTATTTATTTAATTGACAGAGAGAGAGAGACAGCGTGAGGGGGAACACAAGCAGGGGGAGTGGGAGAGGGAGAAGCAGGCCTCCCGCTGAGCAGGGAGCCCGATGCGGGGCTCGATCCCAGGACCCCAGGACCCCAGGATCATGACCTGAGCTGAAGGCAGTTGCTTAACCAACTGAGCCACCCAGGCGCCCCACCTCCACAAGATCTTAAGCTCTTTATTCACTGTTGTATTGCCAGAGCCTAAAACAGTGCCTGTCACAGTAGAAATTCATGGTGTTTTTTGAATGAATGAATAAGTCCTTATTCAAATCTGTTTAAGCACAAATAAATGATTTTCTTAGGTAGTTCTTGCAAGTGGGATTGCTTCGACTCTACCAAGCATTGCCGAACAGCTCACCAGTTTAATCCTCCTCACAAATACATAGGGGTTGTGTCTCCCCACCCCCTACATTTGGTACCATCACATCTTCTTATTTGTGCCAACTGATAGATGTTAAGCATATTTCCTTGTTTTATTTTGCATTTCCTTGATTATTAGTAAGGCTGGGCATTTTTCCTTAGGCTTTTCTCATGATTTGCCTGTTCATACCATTTGCCCATTTTTCTAGTGGGTTGTTTAGCTCTTTCATATAGTATGTATTTGGGGTACTAACCCTTTCCTAATGTTTTGCAACTATCTTCCTGACTTTGGCTTATGTTTTCTCTTTGTGATAAGCTTTTTTGACCAGAGATTTTTAATTTTTACATTTTAAAAAATAGAGTTTATTATTTATTTATCAGTAATTGCTACACCTACAGTGGGGCTCGAACCCATGACCCAGAGAACAGGAGTTGCGTGCTCTTCCAACTGAGCTAGATAGGTGCCCCCAGAAATTTTCATTTTAAAGATTTATTTATTTATTTTAGAAAGAGGGAGGGAGAGAGAGAGAGAACACTGTAAGCAGGGGGAGGGGCAGAGGGAGAGAGAAAATCTCAAGCAGACTTCCTGCTAAGCACGGGGCCTGACCCTGAGATCATAACCTGAGCTGAAACCAAGAGTCAGAGGCAATCTGTAGGGGGATCCTTTAAGACTGACTTGAGTCACCCAGGCTCCCCCAGACATTTTAATTTTAATGTTTTCAAATGTATCAGTATTTTCCTTTATGGTTTGTACTTTATGTGTCTTGTTTGAGAAATCCTTTCCTACTCTGGATTGATACAGATATTCTCTTTTTTACCTAAAAGGTTTTTTTTTATTAACCTATTTGAATGTATTAACGTATTTTATTAACGTAATTGAAATAATTTGAAAAAATGTTGCAAAACTAAAAATAGTACAAAGGACCCTTTACCTAGTTGACCTAGTGTTAACATTCTACCCATTTATCACTTGATATATGTAATATATGCAACATAACATATATAATACATATACATATCATATTTTTTCTTGACTATTTCAAGGTATGCAACATACATTATACGTTATTATTACAGCTAAATGCTTCTGGTGCGTATTTCCTAGGAATAGGGATAATCTCTTACATTACTACAGACCAGTTATCAACCTCATAAATTTACATTGATAAAATACATTTTATCAAATCTCCCATTCATATCTCAATTTTGTCAGTTGACAAATTTGATGTTGACACACTTCATAGCCTTTTCATAACCCTATAAACCATATAACCGTATAGCAGTTTTAGATGATTGTTTTTATAAGTTTATTTCGTTATTTTTAGTAATCTCTGCACCCAACGTGGGGCTCGAACTCACAACCCCGAGCTCTAGAGTCGCATGCTCTTCCGACTGAGTCAGCCAGGCGCCACATAACCTTATAGCAGTTTTAAATGCAGGATCCAAAGTAGGAGCAGGGATCGTATTTAATTGTCTTTTTTTTTTTTTTTTTACTTCCTTTAATCTAGAACAATTCATCAACCTTTATTTGTCTTTTAGAATACTGATGTTTTTGAAGAATACAGTCCCCTCCCCCGGTTTTTAGTAAAATGTTCCTCATTCTGTGTTTGTCTGATGTTTGCTAGTGATTAGGTTCGGCTGATGAAAGCAGTCTCAACTGGACCTCTGCACAGATGTGTGGTATGCAGTCCTGCATCATTGTGTAGATATACTACTGTGTCTTTCCCAGGGCATCACGTCAGGAGGCACACGATGTCTATCTGCCCCTCATCGGTTAATTTTGACCCCGGTCAAAGTGTTGCCCAATCTCTCCACTGTATAAAACGCTTTCTAGGGTGCCTGGGTGGCTCAGTTGGTTAAGCGACTGCCTTTGGCTCAGGTCATGATCCTGGAGTCCCGGGATCGAGTTCCGCATTGGGCTCCCTGCTCGGCGGGGAGTCTGCTTCTCCCTCTGACCCTCCTCCCTCTCATGCTCTCTGTCTCAAATAAATAAATAAAATCTTTAAAAAAAAACAAAAACGCTTTCTATTTTTTGGTGCTTCCTTCCAAATGGTAAGCAATCTGTAGGCGGATCTTTTAAGACATGCAAACATCCCGCTTCTCATTACAATTTCCCGCTAGCATAGAATCCACTGAGGATTCTTGCCCGATCCAATCTTTGCCATGATGGTTGAAAAAGGATTCACTGACACGTTTTTAAGTTTTGTTTGTTATGTATGTCTTTAAATTAATTTGATTTTGTAGAGTGTGAGGGATCACACCCTATTCCTTCATCCTGTCTGCTCTCAGATGGCTGGTTAATCAGCTCCATTTGTGGAAAACTCATCCTTTTCCCACTGGTAAGAAACGGCCACTTTTTCATGCCTTAGATTTCCATTTTTGCTGGGTTTGTCCCAGTGTTCTTTATTCTGTTCCATCGGTCTACTTGTTTATTCCCGCACCAATACCCTTTGTAATAAATCTTTTTTTTTTTAAAGATTTTATTTATTTTTATTTGACACAGAGAGAGAGATAGTGAGAGAGAGAGCACAAGCAGGGGGAGCGGCAGGCAGAAGCAGAGGGAGAAGCAGGCTGCCTGCTGAGCAAGCAGCCCGATGTGGGGCTCGATCCCAGGACCCTGGGATCATGACCTGAGCCAAAGGCAGCCGCTTACTCGACTGAGCCACCCAGGCGCTCCTGTAATAAATCTTGATATGTGGTAGACCAAGTCTCCCATCACATTCTCCTTTAAATTTGTCTTAATCATCTTTGTCGTCCAGGCACTATATTCATTATCACAGGTACTTTTCACAACAACCTTCAGAGAGATTAAGCAACTTTCCCAAGGTCAGGAAGGAGGAATTTGAACCCAGGCTCGCCCAAGGCCGGAGCTCTTGCCCTTATTTCCTGGGGTTCTGCCTTCCCCAAGGCCCAAGGGCCAGGTTTCTAGGCATGGAGAAGTGGAAATCAGAGAATTAAGTGTGGGCAGATGAGAGAAGAAAGACAGATACCGGACTGGTTTGGATTTGGTCTTATATGGACTTTGCCGGCCAAGGGATGGGGTTTGAACTTGGAGGCCAAAAGTGGAAACAGATGATTGGAGGGAATGAGCCTGAGAGATGCCCAGCCCCACCCCCGCGAAACTGATCACCCATGGGCTCATCTTACTGCTTCCCAGGCTGAGCAGGGTTAATGTGGCAGCAGCTTGAAAAGGGGGACCTGCGGCTGCTTTCATCTTGGGTGTGGGGGGGGGGCCCAGGTTGAGAGGCACGGAGGAGAAAGAGTCCGCTGGTTGCCTGGGGGCCAGGATAGGTCCCACTCCAGGGAGCCCCATCCTCCATCAACTCCTCCCTGCCTGATTAAGGGACCCTAATCAGCTTGGGGAGATTAAGGACTCGGGACAGCTGTTCCCACCCCCCCACCCCCCCACCCCCGGGGCCGGCCTGGCAAAGGAGACCTGTGGGAGGGCGTCAGAAGGGGGATCTGCCCTGTGACCCCTCACCCGGGGCCTGGGCCCGAGCCCCGGACTTTCCGGTGAGTGGCAAAGGCCCCTCCGCAGGGACTCGGGTCCCTTCTGCCCCAGATGGATCTGAGGAGGGCATGGGCGTGTCTCCACTGACCGCCCCCCTCCATGGCTCTGGTGGGGGGGGAGGCAAAAGGGGAACAGGCCGCAGGAGAAGCAGGGGTTTGGGGGGTGGGGAGTGCGGTGGGCTTCCAGGCGAAGCCCTTGATCCCCATAGAGTCGCCCGAGCCCGGGAGGGGGGTGTTGTGGAAATGGATCCACGACCCGGGTGAGTTGGGCTTTGAGAAACTGGTGGGGGTGGGGGGTTGCAGAGAGAGCCCTCCGAGAGTTCTGCGGGCCTCGTCCGCTCATCCGGCTCCGTTTCTGCTCCCAGAAGCCGGCGATGAGCGCGTGCGCCCTCCTTGAGGGTGCGCTTGGGGACACCGGGCTCAGCGCCCCCGCGCCGTGGGCTCCGTCCCCGCCCCGCGGCCCCCGGGCCCTGCCCTGGCCCCGGCCGCGGCCCCGGCTCCGGCTCCTGCTGCTGGTGCTTCTCCTGCCGCCCTCCGTCCTCTCGGCCGTCTTCACAGTGGGGGTGCTGGGCCCCTGGGCCTGCGACCCCATCTTCGCGCGCGCCCGCCCGGACCTGGCCGCCCGCCTGGCCGCCGCCCGCCTGGCCCGCGACCCGGCGCTGGGAGGCAGCCCCCGCCTCGAGGTCACGCTGCTCCCGGAGCCGTGCCGGACGCCGGGCTCCCTGGAGGCGGTGTCCTCGGCGCTGGGCCGCGTCTCGGGCCTCGTGGGGCCGGTGAACCCCGCAGCCTGCCGGCCGGCCGAGCTCCTGGCGCAAGAGGCGGGCGTGGCGCTGGTGCCCTGGGGCTGCCCGGGGACGCGGGCGGCGGGCACGACGGCCCCCGCCGGGACGCCCGCGGCCGACGCCCTCTACGCTCTCCTCCGCGCCTTCCGCTGGGCGCGCGTGGCCCTGGTCACGGCGCCGCAGGACCTGTGGGTGGAGGCGGGCCGCGCGCTGTCCGCCGCGCTCAGGGCCCGGGGTCTGCCCGTGGCCCTGGTGACCACCATGGAACCCCCGGACCTGTCGGGAGCGCGGGAGGCCCTGAGGAGGGTCCAGGACGGGCCCAGAGTCAGTGGTAGGCTCCCCTGCAGGGTGCGGGGAGGAGGGCAGGGCCGCCGGCGGGCAGCCGGGCGCCGCAGTGAGCCGGAGTCTCCGCCGGTCGGTCCGCAGCAGTGATCATGGTGATGCACTCGGTGTTGCTGGGCGGCGAGGAGCAGCGCTGCTTACTGCAGGCGGCGGAAGAGCTGGGCCTGGCCGATGGCTCCCTGGTCTTCCTGCCCTTCGACACGCTCCACTACGCCTTGTCCCCGGGCCCGGAGGCCTTGGCCGCGCTCGCCAACAGCTCGCAGCTTCGTAGGGCCCACGACGCAGTGCTCACCCTCACGCGTCACTGTCCCCCGGGAAGCAGCGTGATGGACAGCCTGAGCAGGGCCCAGGAGCACCAGGAGCTGCCCTCTGACCTCAACCTGGAGCAGGTAGAGGGACCAGGGAGGAGGGAAGAGGGGAGGAGAGCGGGGGAAGAGAGCAGGAGATGCCGGAGAGGGGAGAGGAGGATGGAGGCAATGAGAAGTTGACAGGGTCAGTGGAATCAGAGGATGGGGTCAGTGGGCGAGACTAACTAGCGGCCCCACCTGTTCTGAAGTTTCTTGGGTAATGTAAAGGCTCTGGTCTTGCTTGGGGCATCTTAGTGTACTGGGATTGCTTCTGGACGTGGGCAGTGAGACCTCTCAGGCCCAGCTCCAGGCAGTAGGCCCTAGTGAAGTCTACCCTGCAATGCTTGGCAGCCTGCTTCAAAGTAAACCCACCTCCAGCACAGTCTATAATACACTGTGGTGTTCTTAAGAGAACAGGAAGGAGGAAGGATGCAGCTCCAATCTCCATGCCCAGTTTAGAAGTGTTTCTTCTGGGGCTTCATCTGGTGGTCATAACTTTTTGAGAGCCTTGACAACTTGTGAGAAGCAGGAAGATCTCTACGTGGGGCCAGGAGCTCCCATGATCATTGAGATCCACAGCGTACTCCCGACAACCAGCTAACACCCAGGATTCCCTGAGATTCCAGAATCCCAGTTCAGACCATCTAACTCCATACCAGTCATAGAAAGGAGAGGGGGCTGGAAACCACTAAGATAGAAGGGAGTTTAGATGTCAGTGGGCAGTAAATTAACCACCACAAAGGCCCTACTCAAAGGGTTGAACTTGAGAGATGGCTGTGAGATATCCCCCCCCAACACCCCTAGTCTCCTCCAAGAGGATTTGGGGTAGCCAATGGAGAAAGGATGAGAAGAGTCAATAACAAGAGGAGAAAAAGACTCAGTTAGTCACAGTGGTGAAATGGGGTGCGGGGCAGGTGGATGAAGTGATGAAAAAGCGTCTTCAGTTCTCCTTAACTGGCACAACCTGCCACCTAGCTCCCTATGAGACCCCTGGAAGTCACCCTTGATTCCTCTCATCTTCCCCCTAACACACACACACACACACACATCCAGACATCAAGTCCTGTCAGTTTTACTTGGTAAAAGTCATTTGAATCCATCCACTTTCTCCATTCCCACCGCCCCTGCCCTGGTTCAGGCCACAGTCCCTCTGATCTAAATCTTGAAACAGAATCTGCCAAATGGTCTCTGCTTCAATGCTTACCTGCCCTGGGCCTTTCTCCACCCAACAATCAGTTCAAACTTCAGAAATCAGACAAATCTGACTGTGTCACACCCCTGTTCAGAGCCTCCCCGGGGCTTCTCTCGCCCTGAACAGACGCAGGTCTCTTCAGATGGCTGACCAGGTGTCTTGTCTTCCTCTCTCTTCCATTTTCCTTGAACTTCAACCAGACAGTGCCACTTTGGGTTTCCTAAAATGTGCCCTTCTCTTTTGCCTCTGTGCTGCGGGGTGTGCTCTTCCCTCTCTCCTGCCCCTCCCCTCCCCCAGATAATTCTGACTCATCCTCTGAAGGATGGTCACTTCTTCTGGAAGCCTTCTCCTCCTCCACCCTACCCTCACCCATGGCACTGCCTTAGCCTCGGTGTCTGTTTCCCCAACTAGAAGAAAGATTCCTGGGGACAGAGACTCTATCTTATCAAGATCTCAGTATCACCTATTACTTTACACAGTGCCTGGCTCTGGGAGAGATGGGAACCTGGAAAAATAAGCTTGATGAAATGGGGTGATAGCCTTGGGGGAAGAAAAGAAGGAAAAATAGAAGAGAGAAGCCAACCAAAAGATAGGAAAGGAGGCTTTTAGGTGAATGAGAGGTAATGATATGAAAAATATAAGCAGGGCAACCAACAGGAAAGGGGAGAGAGGAGCTGTTGGTGATGGAGAGTAGGAATAACCAGCGGTGAGAAGAGCCTAAGAATCCTGAAAAGAGGGAAGGTCAGCGAGGAAGAGGGGAGAGAAGAGAGCCAGTGGGGAGAGAGGAGGAGAGGGTCATTGGGGAGAGAGGAGGAGAGGGCCAATGGGAAGAAAGAGAAAGAGGGGATAGAGCCAATGGGGAGAGAGGAGGAGAGCGCACCCAGGGACACGGGGAAGCCCTAACGAGGTGTGAAGAGTCTATACACGCGGGGCTTGAGGGCTTGAAAGAAGCAGTGAAAGGCTGGGTGGACCAGTCAGCCCGCGTCTGTGTGTGGGTGGTGACCCCAAACCCTGAGCGCATCCTCTCCTTCCTCAGGTGTCCCCACTCTTCGGCACCATCTACGACGCGGTCTTCCTGCTGGCGGGGGGCGTGGCGCGGGCGCGGGCGGCCGCAGGGGGCGGCTGGGTGTCCGCAGAGGCGGTGGCCCGCCACATGCAAGATGCCCAGGTGCCCGGCTTCTGCGGGACCCTGGGAGGAGCCGAGGAGCCCCCATTCGTGCTGCTGGACACGGATGCAGCGGGGGACCGGCTCTTCGCCACCTACATGCTGGACCCCACCCGGGGCTCCCTCCGCTCGGCTGGGACCCCGGTGCATTTCCCTAGAGGCAGAGGAGCACCTGGGCCCGACCCCTCGTGCTGGTTCGAGCCAGACATCATCTGCAACGGAGGTGAGGGCGAGCACCCCAGCCCCCACTGGGACAGTCAGCGCGGACCCTCCACAAACTGGTGAAAGAGAGTGAACTCTCACCCTGTAACTCCTTCCAGGTCCTCCTCAGACCCCTGGCTTGTGCGGACCCTCTCTCTTGCCAAGCCCCCAAAGCCCTCTTGGAACTTTTCTAGCATCCCCAGAGGCTCCCCTCCGCAGAACCCATAGCCTTTCCCTAGACCTCGTTCTGGGCTCCCGTCCACCTTTGCTAGAGCCTCCAGGATTTGACATGACTGCATACCTCGATAGAGAGGGCGCCTCCGCCTGGCCGCGGGGCCCTCAGCGTTCCTCCTCTCACTGCCTCTCCAGGAGTGGAGCACCGCCTCGTCTTTATCGGCTTCCTCCTGGTGGTTGGGATGGGGCTGATGGGGGCCTTCCTGGCCCATTATGTGAGGTGAGTATGGGAGTGAGGCGGGTAGGAGAGGAGCTTGGCTCTCCATCTCCCAGAATTGCATCTGGGCAGCAAGGACAGCAGGCTGAGCCCGCTCAAGAGTGGAAAAAGGGAGGACTGGGGGAGAGGCGGTGCCCCAAGGGGTGGCCGGCCAGATGATGTTTGGTTTGGGGATGGCTGCTCTCCCCTGAGCCAACGCTATCCCCTACCTGCCTCCTCTCATGGACTTTGGTCCCCTTTGAGCAGATGACATCCTTTCCCTCCCAGGCATCGGCTACTTCACATCCAAATGGTCTCTGGCCCCAACAAGATCATCCTGACTCTGGACGATATCACCTTTCTCCAACCGCAAGGAGGCAGCACGCGAAAGGTGGGGGAAGCAGGGAGGCAAGGGATCTCTGGCAGGGAGCCCTCTCTCCAAGAGTCCTTCCGTGTATATCTGTTCCCCTGCCTGGGCCAGCCCTCACCTCAGCCCCCACCTGGGAAGGCCTCCTTTCTGGCCTGGCTCCCTCTCAGGTCTGAGTTCTGGGGGTGTGCAATGAGAGTAAGAGCTCCTGTCCCTGCTGCTTCCCTGGGGCAGCGTGAAGCTCTGAGAAAACCAACTTGTTTGTTTTGTAAACTGTAAAGTGCAGTGCAATTGGGAAGTAATGTCATTATCACCTTCCCTAATTAAGAGTTCTTCCCCTCCTCTCTGTAATCCCCAGAACTCAGCCTGACCTCAACCCAGGACTCTAACCCTACAGTATATTTTGATCCCTTGCATTGACCTCTGCCTTCCAGGTGGCCCAGGGGAGCCGAACGAGTCTGGCTGCCCGCAGCATGTCAGACATTCGCAGCGTCCCCAGCCAGCCCTCGGATAGCTCCAACATTGGTCTCTATGAGGTGAGCCTTACCCCGGCCAGGCCCGGCTCTATTCCTGGAGTTGTGTTGTATCTTGCAGGCTCCAGAAAATGGTGATAGGAGCCCAGAATGGGCTCTAGGAGGAGGTCATGGGTCCCCCAAAGGGAGCATCTGGGAATCCTTCCTGCCCCAGGATTCCGCCTTAGCCTTTATCCAGATGCGTGCTCCTCAAAGGCTAATCCCAGTGGCTCAGAGGCTGGAGGCCTGACGGGGGGGGGGGGGGGGGGGGGCAGGGGGGATGTACTGGGACCATGCAGCCCGGTGTGGCCCACTGAAGCCATTCCCTGCCCTGTCCCCTCAGTGATCCAAGCCTTCAGGTTAGCAGAGGATATGGGCCTCCTTGGAAAGGTTGGGGCAGAGGGGCACCTGGGATGTGGTCTCATGGTCATAAAAAGGACATTTCCAGGACATGGATTTTTCGGGGGAGTTTCCAGACAGGGCTGTCCCCAACTCAAGACAGACCCAAGTCTTTGCCCCACCCAGCATTGCCACCCAGTTCAGCTCAAACTCAGGAACAAGCCTTAGAGGGGGAAAAAGAAAGTCACAAAAGCGCATTAGGATCTTAACTATGGGTCAGCCAATCTGAACTTGGTGGTATGGGGGCGAAATTGTGAACAGACTCAGAAGAGAGCTGTGGGAACTCAGCTAATTAGGAGGGTGGGATGGAGATTTAGACTTCCCAAGCATCAGGTCACACAGAGAATGCAGAGGCTCCTACCCCATCAGCTGCGTCCCCGTGAACCAGCCCGACCAACAGCTGAGGACAGGGCGGCTCAGAGCCTGGAGGGGAACTGCCTGTCCTTCGCAGTTTGTCTGTAATAAAAAGCCTAATCTACCCAGACTCCTGACTCCCAGCACAGTGCTCTCTCATGGCAACAGAGGGTGCCAAGGGCTGTGGTCGCAGTGACATGTGTGGTGGTAATGACTTGCTTAGTAAGGCTGAGGACAGCCATGTAAGGGGGGGCTCCCTCCCGGCTAGCTGTGAAGTGGACCCGCAGACCTCAAGCTCCTTGCTCCTGATGCTCTGTGTCACAGGGAAGATGTATCTGGGGCAGGGGGCCAGTGGAAATGTGGGGGCCCTAGGGATCCTCGCCTCGTGGGGTTTTAAGAAACTGAGTTCACACAAAGCAAAAGAAAAGAAAGAAAGAAAGAAGCCGAGTTCACTACTCCCATCTCTGCTCCAGGGAGACTGGGTTTGGTTGAAGAAATTCCCCGGGGATCACATAGCTATCCGCCCAGCAACCAAGGCAGCCTTCTCCAAGGTGAGAGTGGGCCCTCCTCTCTAAAGAAGATTTCTACGCTCTTTCATAATACTAGCTCTTTCGTTTGGTGTGCTTATCATGATGTGTCATTGTAGGTTCAGTGTGGGCTTGCGTATTTTTTTAAAAGATTTATTTATTTATTTTAGAGAAGGGGGGGCAGAGGGAGAGAGAGAATCTCAAGCAGACTCCCCGACTCAGGGCTCGATCCCATGACCGTGAGATCATGACCTGAGCTGAAATCAAGAGTCGGATGTTCCACCGGCTGAGCCACCCAGGCGCCCCTCTAGCGTATTTCTTATCTGCCTCACTCACTGGACTGCAAGCTAAGTGAGGGCTTCCCCTGCCCCATCATTGCATGTTTGGCACCCAGCATGGTGTCTGGAACGTTAGAGAGACGTAATAAATGTTTGTTGAGTGAATGACAGAAAGTTAAAAAGGGCTTGAGCGACGGGGAAGCTGGCAGGCAAGCAGTAGCCTGGCTTATTCTGGTCCTTACATCACGCAGCCCTTGCCTGGCCTCCTTCCCTGAGGCCTCGACCGAAGGTCTGTGGCCACAGCTGCAGAGTGACTTAGGGTCAACCGGCTAAATCACCATTTAATGGCAGGCATCTCAGATGAAAGCAAGCCCCTTACTGGACCGAAGGACGGCCGTCACCCGCTAGCCCCTGTTTTCCCAGGCTGCCCAGACTGGGGGGGGGGGTGCTGTCCTCCTCTGGGACCACAGCTCGCTCCTTCTCTAACCTGGGGAGGCTGGGAGTCTCAGACATTTCTGACACAGTGACAGAACTAAGCAAGGCGGCCCTGAGCCATCACCCGCACAGCCATTTCTGGTGCTTTCTTTGAAAGCAGTGAGGCTTCATCCTGGTTCTCTCTGCAAGGGCTGTCACATCAGAAGGGGAGGGCGCTGGTGCTGGGGGCTTCTCCATGGAGTGTTTCCCCCTAAATCCAGGCAGTTCAAAGTCTTACCGGAACCTGCCTGGGTCCTGGTTCCCCCCGCAAGGTTGTCTTTTCAGTCCTAACTTGAAGCTAAAGCCTGCTAAGCATCTGAACGGGGGAGACGTGATCTGCGGAAGCAAGCCTCTCTCCACGCCCCACGGACCTTTCCATCCACCGTTCTTATCCCATCTTCCGAGCTGGGACACTCAGAAACAGGCCTGAATAACAGGTCTCCTCCTCACGTTGCTTCCAGGGCAGAAAATGCCCGTTCACTTTCTCCCTCCCAGCTCCGGGAGCTCCGGCAGGAGAACGTGGCCCTCTACCTGGGGCTCTTCCTCGGCGGCGGCGGCGGAGCGGGTGGCTCGGCGGCCGCGGGGGAAGGCATGCTGGCTCTGGTCTCAGAGCACTGCACCCGGGGCTCCCTCCACGACCTCCTCGCCCACAGAGACATCAAGCTGGACTGGATGTTCAAGTCCTCCCTCCTCCTGGACCTCATCAAGGTGTGGGGGGTGCGGGTGTGGCGGGGAGGACAGGGCAGGGAGCCGCGGGGCTGAGGCCGCCTTCCCTCCCACCCCTCCAGGGAATGAGGTATCTGCACCATCGAGGCGTGGCCCACGGGCGGCTTAAGTCACGGAACTGCGTGGTGGACGGGAGGTTCGTGCTCAAAGTCACGGACCACGGCCTCGGGCGACTGCTGGAAGCGCAGAGGGTGTTAGCGGAGCCTCCCAGCGCGGAGGGTAGGATTCCTGGCTGCCCCCCGCGCGCGGAAGCGCATCCCCCAGGATTCCCGTTATTTCCAGGGTCCCTCCACTCCTCCCTCCGCCTTCGCATGCTCTCCATTCCACCGCCACTGGACGTGGCTGCCACCACGGAAAAGGTCTTGTGACTTCTGAGATGCGAAGGGTGGGCTCCGTGACTGGGGAGGCGGGGGCTGGCTGGGGCGTGGCTTGTGCCTGAAGGGCGGAGTCTCCTCTGAGCTCCGCTGGGCCTAAAGGGTGGAGCCTATTTGTGAGGACCCCGCTTTCTCTGGGACCCGCGTTGGTTTTCTGGTAGTTTTATCTGGGGGGTAGCTGCAGGTAGCGAGGCCAGACTCCGCCTGGGAGTTGGTGTGTGGGTGCGAGCCTGGCCTTCCTGGTTAGGGTGGGGGTCTGTCCCCGGCGCCCCCGAGGCCCTCCGCTTGCCCACGCCCCCTTCCCCGACCCCAGACCAGCTATGGACAGCCCCGGAGCTGCTTCGCGACCCGGCCCTGGAGCGCAGGGGGACGCTGGCTGGTGACGTCTTCAGCCTGGGCATCATCATGCAGGAGGTCGTGTGTCGCAGCGCCCCCTACGCCATGCTGGAGCTGACTGCCGAGGGTACGCCGCCCCTCGCCTGGGCCTTTGGGCTAAGAAGGCAGGCTGCCGTTAGGCAGAGCCTCGCCAGCGCCAGCCTCTTTTCCCGAAAGCCCGGAGCTGAGGCTTAATTAGGGGGGCCTCCCTTATGTGGGTCTGAAGGGTCAGGGCAGTGGAGAGCCAAGCATCGGGATGGACGGGGCGGCTCTGAGACGTGCAGACTTCAGTGGTTGCCTCTGTCCTCGTCCTGGCCCCAACCTGCTCCTCCAACTGAGGGAGCAGGCTCTTCTCTGGTTCTTAGGTGCCCCAGGGAGGGAGCAGTGTCGGGAGAAGGGGGTGTAGAGCAGTCGGATCTGGTTCAGATCCTTGATCACCCCTACCTGATCACCCCAACCCTCCCTCTTGTTATGCGCAGTAGCTGTTAGGTTCTGCCTATCACCTCTTACTGCCCCCTGTCCCCCAGGGTTCAAGATCTTTTTGTTGCTCCAGGAACCCCCTCCTTCACTACACTTTCCCACCTACCGAAGCTCTGATTTAAAGAACCCCCGTCCAGTGTCCCCATCTTGAGCTTCAGCAATCAGGCCAGAGTCAGAAGTGGCTTCTCTTGGCCCCCTTGTGCCTCCAGAAGTGGTGCAGAGGGTGCGGAGCCCCCCTCCACTGTGTCGGCCCTCTGTGTCCATGGACCAGGCGCCCATGGAGTGCATCCAGCTGATGAAGCAATGCTGGGCAGAGCAGCCAGAACTTCGGCCCTCCTTGGACCGCATCTTCGACCAGGTCAGGGACTGGGATTGGGGTTAGGGCTGCGCTGGTCACGTGTCAGCAACTTGAGGAGGCTTCCAGAAGGCAGGCCAGCAGGATCTCTGATCTCCAGGCTATCTCCCAAAGGGGTAGTCTGAGGACTGGGATTAGGTGGGGGCAGAGTGAGAACAGGGGCTATGGAGGCCTTTGGAGCGGGAGACAGAGCTCTGGGTGGGAGAAATGTTTGGCACAGTGTGGCAGAAAGACCCTTGGCCTGGGAGTCCAAAGGCTGGGCTGGTTCCAGTGCCTTGACAATCACTAGCTGAGAGTAGCTGACCTCGGAGAACCCCCATTTCCCATCTGTCTCCTGATAATGCGTGGAAACAGAGGGCCTGGCATCCCTGGGGGGTAGGGGGTGGTTGATGAGTAAAAGATGAACAGGGAGGGGGGGTGGCGCACAAGGGTCACGGCAGCCCAGGTCCCACCAGCTTCCTCCTCCTGCCAGTTCAAAAGCATCAACAAGGGCCGGAAAATGAACATCATTGACTCGATGCTGAGGATGCTGGAGCAGTACTCCAGTAACCTGGAGGACCTGATCGGGGAGCGCACAGAAGAGCTGGAGCTGGAGAAGCAGAAGACCGACCGGCTGCTCAGGCAGATGCTGCCACTGTGGGTGCCTGCGGGCGGGAGAGGGAGCGGAGGGGCGGGGGGCCGGGGAATAGCGGGGATGCAGCCCGTCTGGCGTGTCTGGGTAACCCCGCCACCCGCCATCCCTAGTTCCGTGGCCGAGGCCCTGAAGATGGGGACACCTGTGGAGCCCGAATATTTTGAGGAGGTGACGCTCTACTTCAGCGACATCGTGGGCTTCACCACCATCTCAGCCATGAGCGAGCCCATCGAGGTGGTGGATCTGCTCAACGACCTCTACACGCTCTTCGACGCCATCATCGGCTCCCACGACGTCTACAAGGTGGGGTGTGCGGGGGGGGGGGGGGGGGGGGGGCAAAGCACCCTTCAGCTTCACCAGCCCCCAGCCTGCTTGCCCCAGTCCTTCGAAGCCCTCCGTCCCTTCTGCCAGCTCCGCAGGTTGGAAGCCTCCCCCGGATCCCTGCCCTAACCCCCGTTGAGGTCCCCCGACAAGGGACAATGGCTTTGCGGGAGAGGGGTGCTCAGTACTGAAGCCGCACGACCCCTTCCCTCAGGTGGAGACAATTGGGGACGCCTACATGGTGGCCTCGGGGCTGCCCCAGCGGAACGGGCAGCGGCACGCCGCCGAGATCGCCAACATGGCTCTGGACATCCTCAGCGCCGTGGGCTCCTTCCGAATGCGCCACATGCCCGAGGTGCCCGTGCGCATCCGCATCGGCCTGCACTCGGGTAACTCCCGGGCCCTCGCGCCCGTCCGCCCCGCGGGGGCCCGGCTCCGCAGTCCGGAGACAGGACGCCCACTCACGGAGTGGGGGGGTGGCGGTGGGGGGACGTGTCTGGGAGCCGCCTCTGCCTACCAGCCCCCCGTTGTGACTGAGAGGTACCCTTGAGAGTGTTGCCCTGGGGGGCGGGTGGAGCTGATGGGGTGCCAGCGTCCCCCGAGGTGCTAGGTGCCCCCCAGCCGCCAGCACGGCCAGCCGCAGCCCAGGCCCCGGCCGCACACCCTGTGCGTCTCCGCAGGCCCGTGCGTGGCGGGCGTGGTGGGCCTCACCATGCCGCGGTACTGCCTGTTTGGGGACACGGTCAACACCGCCTCGCGCATGGAGTCCACGGGGCTGCGTGAGTGGGGCGGGGGCGGGCGGGGCTGGGCTGCGGGGCGACTCACTGAGCAGTGGGGGAACGGCTAGGGAGGTGGGGTGCACGCGGGAGGGGAGTCCCGAAATCCCCGCGCCCCCCTGTCATCCCAGCTTACCGTATCCACGTGAACGTGAGCACCGTGCGGATTCTCCACAATCTGGACCAGGGCTTCCAGACCGAGGTGCGAGGCCGCACCGAGCTGAAGGTGAGGCTAGGCCCCGCCCCGTCCTGGACCCAGGCCGGGTTCCACTCAGACCTCAAGATCCACCCGCCCTCCCCGCAGCCCCCTAAGTGCTCCCCTCCCCCGTGTTTCCCCAGGGCAAGGGCGCTGAAGACACCTACTGGCTGGTGGGCAGACTCGGCTTCAACAAGCCCATCCCACAACCGCCTGACCTGCAACCGGGGTGAGGAGCCGGCCTCCCGCCCCCTTCACGCCTTCTCGGTCTCCTGCGGGTCTCCTGCGGTGCCTGACCCCGCCCTCCCACTCCCCCTCTCTGAAGCTGACGCCCTCTCTACCGCAGGGCCAGCAGCCATGGCATCAGTCTGGAGGAGATCCCCCTGGATCGGCGACAGAAGCTGAAGAAGGCGAGGCCGGGCCTGTTCTCTGGGAAGTGAGGCCCCGCCCACACAGGTGCTGCCCTTCTGCTCCCAAGCCCAGCTGCCAGTCTCCTCTCAGACTCTGGGGTGGGGTGGGGTGGGGTGGGGGGCTACCCACCTCTGGGAGATGCTTTCTGGGGAACAGGCACCTCTTCCCCAGCCTTAGGGCCTAGTGGCCTAGCCCTGCCGGCTGAACTTCCCACCCAAGCCGGGTGTCCCCATCCCTGGTCTGACCGAGTGAGCCCAGGCTCGTTCCTAAACCCGGGGACTTTCCCTGGGAGGGAAGCACCAGCTGCAGGGATTCTGGTTCAGTAGGTCTGGAGTGGTCCAGGAATCCAGACTTGAGAACCCCTGTACACATGACCCGAGACCTCTCTCCTCGGACCCCCCCACTGCATTAACCAGGCATCCCTGCCAGGCTGCACAGGCTGTGCACTGCACAAGAGACCACTCTAGGGAGCAGCATTTGGCAGAGGACAAGATGAACGCTGTCTCTAGAGTTCTGTCAGGGCAGAAGCCCTGCCCTCTACCTTCCTTGAAAAAACTTTGATCCATGACCTTCCCCTTCCTAGGTGAACCCCCATGACCCCTTCTCACGATTTGCCTTTGACACACTCCTCTTTCTCTCAGGAGTATTCCGGAAGGTCCTTTTCCTGAAAGTTGCTGCTATAGGTGACCAAAAGTCTGGCTAATAACCAGTGGCTTCTCGCCAGCTCTGCCTCAAAGGATTCTGGGCCTTTACAGGAGCTGGTTGCAAACCCGCTGTGTGACCTCGGGAAAGTTTCATGCGCTCTCTGGGCTTGGGTTCCCCCTCCATGATGAAATAAGGAGAGGCCTAGGTGGTTTCCGCACTCCCCTGCTCTGACAGCTAAGCATCAGCGTGGTTGGCCTGGGGATACGGGCCACTGGGCTTGGGGCCTCCAGCCCCAGTGACTCTGAGCCCATCAGGAGAGGTTGGGGTGGGGATTCTCCACTTTCTAGGCCCCGCCCCCCAGGCCCCAGGAAGGAGGGTCTGGGATTGGCTGCCCCAACCCCAGAGGTGGGGGGACGAGACCTCCTGTTCCTCCAGAGCAGGGTTGTCCAGTGGCCTGAGGATTAGTCTCTGTTTAGCTTCCAGCATCCTTCCCTTCATCCCCCCCCCACCGCCCCCACCCGGTCAGAAACCGGCTCCTCCCTCGGGCACAACCGTGACTTGCCCAAGTGCAGAGAAAAGCCGGCTTCCAGGCTTTGGGTAAAGGAAGCAAATCAGAATCGGCATTTTAACGAGCTCCCTCCAAGAGTTTCTGTGCACTTGAACGTCGGCGAATCGTGTCACTACGTGCTCCTAAGAATCCCTAAGATTTCATAGAAACCAGCCCCGAGACTTGTTTTGTCTGGGCTCTGGGGTAGTTTTGTTTTGAGCTTACATTTAGAAATGTTAGGGCTTCGCTCTTCTGTTCTAATGGTCCCCGCCCCTCACTGGAGCTCAGGACTCGGGGAGTAGCTGCTGGTGGGATCCCAGGAGCTCCCGGAGCTGGTCTGGCCTGGCTTGTGAAATCCACAAGCTCCGTAGTCCTCCCACCCCCCCCTTCCTAAAGGCTGAGAACGAATGAGTAAGAAATCTAAAATCCAGCACTTGTAGCTTCTGGTTACTTGACGTGGTGCTGCTAGAATGAGTAATTTAGCGCAATTTAAAAAACGTGTTTTTTTTAAAGATTTTATTTATTTATTTGACAGAGACACAGCGAGAGAGGGAACACGAGCAGGGGGAGTGGGAGAGGAGAAGCAGGCTTCCCGCGGAGCGGGGAGCCCGATGCGGGGCTCGATCCCAGGACCCTGGGATCCTGACCTGAGCCGAAGGCAGACGCTTAACGACTGGGCCACCCAGGCGCCCCTAAAAAACGTTTTAAATGGAGTCTGGAGATGATGAGTTAAAGTTTAAAAAAAAACAAAAACAAAAACCCAGATGTGCACGCATGCGCGCACACAGTATTTTTTAAAAAATTATGTACATTCTTAAATATCTCTCTTCAGATTTTCTCTGTACTTGGGTCCTGGGGATTGAGGGCAGACCACGTTGCTGGCACAGGGCCTGACAATGTGACTCGAGCCCTCACTCCCCTGTCCCTTCCCAGGCCTCCCCCTCCTTGCCCCCAGAATCCCCCACTTCCACCCTTTCTCTCTCCTTCCATCCCACCTGTGAGGATGGCCTGTGATTCAGGGGAGCCTCCAGGCAGAGTTGACCTGGGATTACCGATTACACGCCAGAAGACTAGCATGGGCAGGCTGGGGCAGGAAGTCCTAGGGGAGGAGGAGCTTGAGCCCAAATCCAGTTTAGGGTAGAGGTGGAGGCAGCAGGGCTGAGCAGGTCCCTTCCCGCCTTCACCTCTGCCTTGTCCGGAGACCTGAGTGGGCAGACGTGACCCGGGAGGAGCCTGTAGAGGTCGGGAGAGCGGAGGCCCAGCCCAGAGCTCACAGAGCTGGTGGGAGAAGGGCCGGGAAGGTGGAGGCGCAGTCTCCCCATTTCTGTGGAAACTTCCTTCCTGGGCCCAATCAGTGTCCTAGAGCCCCGCTCCCCACCGGCCTCCAGCCCCCTTCACCTGCTCACCCCTGTGGTTCCTGGGACGCGGGCAGCCCCAGCCCCGAGAGCACCTGGCTTGGCCATCAGGCTCTCCCCACCCTCAGATGTGTTTACACTACCTCTGCTAGCTGGCCTGCGCCGGGGGCCCCCACGTGGGGCTGTCCTCGCCTTCGGGGCGGTTCTGTAGCCCCAACCCGTGATGGCCAGCAGGGCCCTCCCGCAGCTGTTGCTGCTTCCATCCCGTAGCTGCGACTCCACATCATGTCCCGGGGCTCACTCGGCGCCTTTTCTCTGCTGCTCCTCAGGGTCGGGGCCCTCCTCCCCATCCCCAGCTGCAGTGGGCCCCAGGCACCCCACTTTGGGGGAATCTGTGACACTGCTCGTGGGGGCCTGTGGTCACTGGGACCTTCTGGACTGTGTGCTGTGGACGCCAGGCCGTGTGCCACGGTGCTGGGTCCTGGGAGGGTGAGGACTGAAATAAAGGCGAGCTTTCTTCCATGCCACGGTGTGAGAACGTTTGGGCCTGGACGGTCCGAACACCCCTTCCCTGTGGCGTTCGAACCTGGCGTTTTCCGGGAGGGCTTCAGGTAGGGGTGAGTCTCAGCGATGGCCGAGGCAGAGGGAGGTGAGCTGAGGCCCACAGCTCCCCCAGCAACTACCCTGCTCAGGGGGTCTGCTCTGAGGGGACAAAGCAGGGAAGCCTCAGGCTTTTCAGGTTTCTAGAAAAGACCAGGGGCCCTGAGGTTCTGGAATAGGGTGGTGTGGCCTCATCCCTGGGTCGCAGGCAGGAGAGGGGAAGGAAGACAGGAGCAGAGCTGTTCTGTGACCAGGCCCCAGGGGAGCCAGAGCCCAAGACTAAAGGAACGGGGCCCACAAATGTAGAAACCTGAGGCCCTTTCATCTCTGGGCAGGACTTCACAACTCACATCCCGCCTCTCACCCCTCAAGAGCCTGCCACTGGGGCAGAAGAGACTGCCCCCAAGCCACCAGGGGGTGACCGGCCCATTGGTCGTCCCTTGTCTCTCCGCCCTACGTCCCGGCCCCAGGCCTGACGTTTCTGACATGATGACTTGAGATGGGCATCGGTGGCTGTAACTTCCTGGCGTCCCCAGTGTCCGTGGAGCTGACCCCAGACCTCCCCCCTCCAGTCACTGCATCCCTCTGTGGCCAGGATAGCTTCAGGGCAGGCAGGGACTTGCCGGGCCGGGGCAAAGAGGCTTGGTGCTCAGAGGCTGCTGGAAGCTGAGTGAAGAAGCTGCCTGTTTTCTCTGGGGTTACTGAGGGGGCAGGACGCGGGGCCGTCCGAGACACAGGGCATCACTGACAGAGGGGCGGCGTGGCCTCTGCCCCTCGCTGGGCCTAAGGCCGGATTGGCTGTTTGAACACCGTGGGCTAGTTGTTGGCTTAAGCCAGACTGGATTCGGTGTTGTTCTTTGCAGTCCTAAGTGTCCTCAGAAGGCTGATGGTGCGGTGGGGGGGGTTGGACTGGTTTAACAGGAAAGAAAAGAAGAAACTGCTGGCTTGGGAGGGAGGCAGGGAATGCAGGCTGAGTGACCAGGAGGAGACAGCCTCCAAGCCGGGACTCCACCAACAGTCAGCCAGCGCCTTTCCCTGCCCTCTGACTGGTGCTGAAAATTCCAGTTCTGGGAACCCAACCCAGGGAAAGGCTAGCACCCGAGGGGAGAACATGCACACAGCCTTGTAGCCTCATCTGGACTCCCGTGCTGACCCGGCCGCTGGAAGGTGGAGGAGCCTCCAGGTCCGACCTCAGAGCCAAGGCCCGTGAGACTGGTGCTCCCAGCTCAGAGCAGTGCTAGCAATCGACATCCTCAGGAATTCAGTGACTAGACTTTGACAGGCAGGCTGGGGTGGGGCGGATGGCGCCCCTGCTCCCGGAGTGCGGAAGGAAGTAGAAAATGGGGGGAAGGACAGTTGTGACATCTGGGATCCTTTGGTTCCCCGCAGGGTGGGGCTTGCTTCTCAGCCTAGAGACTTGCCCTTCCAACCTAAAGCCATTCTGCCACCTCCACCCAGGACACTGACCTCACCACCCATCCCTGAGTCTGTGCCTTTGGCCCTGGGACTCAGAGAAGGGCATGCTGTCCCACAGTTTACCCATTCTGCTCACAGGGACACTGATTCCGCCATTCACAAAGCATATCCCCACGTTCTGTCTTTTTTTTTTTTTTTAGATTTATTTATTTATTTATTTGAGAGAGAGAATGAGAGAGAGAGAGAGAGAGAGCGCACATGAGAGGGGGGAGGGTCAGAGGGAGAAGCAGACTCCCTGCCGAGCAGGGAGCCCGATGTGGGACTCGATCCCGGGACTCCAGGATCATGACCTGAGCTGAAGGCAGTCGCTTAACCAACTGAGCCACCCAGGCGCCCCCAATGCATTTGCTTTTTTTTTTTTTTTTTTTTGAGAGAGAGAGAACGAGAGAGAGAGCATGAGAGGGGGGAGGGTCAGAGGGAGAAGCATGCTCCCCGCTGAGCAGGGAGCCCGACGCGGGACTCGATCCCGGGACTCCAGGATCATGACCTGAGCTGAAGGCAGTCGCTCAACCAACTGAGCCACCCAGGCACCCCATCCCACGTTCTGTCTTTAATCCTCGGACGACCCATTTTCCACACATGAAAAGTGAGGCTCCCAGCCATGAAATGAACCCATCCAATGCCACATGTCGGACAAATCTGGAGATCAGGGAGCAAAGCCAGGAGTTCAGGCTCTGGGCCTTGGGCTGCCTCTCCAGGGTGCAGCAAAGAGACTTACCTTACAGGCAGTCCTGCTTCATGTCTCTTGACGGTTTTCAGCAAGAGCGCGATTTCACCTCTGACATCATTGTCTGTGTAATCGGATGATTAAAGAGTTTTAACTCGGCGGGATATGAACATGAACCCATTATACATTTCTCCAGTCAGTGCCTTCAAAAGGCCGGTCCAGTTGAGAACTCCAATCTCCCATCTGCTGGAAATGTTGGCTCCTGACTGCGCAGGTCAGGGACCTGAGGGGTGTGGGTGGGCTTGGGGGTACATGTCTGTCCCTTTCCCTGCTCCCCCAACTGTGGCTCCTTGGTCAGGAGGGAAGGGTCATGGGGGCATAATTGGATCCTAGGACCCCTGTTCCCTCACTCTTCGAGGGGGCAATACAGAGGAAGCTTAACTAGTCACCTGTCAGGGAAGCCTCCCTGGTCTCACTTCGGCACCAAGGCTGCTGACAGCAGCTGGGGGCACCATCCCTGCCCACATGCATGTGCAGGGGTGAGCTCACCACAAAGCTAAGAAATGCAAACTTCATGGTCCCTCCTTACCTGCACAAGCCCCTTCCAAGCCTGCCTCCTCCTCACACTCTCAGGCCACAGGAGACCGGGCTGGGGGTGGGGGGGAGAGGGTTATCACTGCCTTCTCCCCAGGCCTCCACACCGTGTCTCCTCTCTGTTCTGCAGCCCAGCCTCACCCAGCCAGCAATGAGATGCCTACCTCCCACTCCTGAAGGTACCTCCATTCTCCAAAAATGATTCTTCCAGAGAACTGCCACTCTGGTGATTGTTGGGGGTGGGGGGGAGGGCAACCCTCAGCCCAGATGCCATATCCCACCAACTCCTCCCCACACCCCCACGCCTCTGCTGGTGGCCTGGGGAGCAGGGGTTTGGCGGGAGCCAGTTGCTCAAACTCTCAGGCAGCCCTTGGGATGGGAATGCAAGGGAGGGGAGCTGAGCCAACTGTTGGCCTCTCTCTGTAGAATGCATTGGGTGACTCAGTACTTCATGGTGTCAGTTGTGGCCACTGTTTCCATGGCCACGGGAGAAGTTCACTCGACATCTTATTATGGCACGTTATGAGTGGGTTACACCCCCCGCTACAGAGCTTATTGCCAAACACCGCTTCTTAGTGCCGGACAACATGAACTTCTGTTAGATACCACAAAATTCTCATGATTTTTCCACTGCGGCTAAATGGCCATCTACTTGATTACAATGTGCTCCCGACTGCAAGGTCAGCAAAGGGCTCTTCCTTCCAGTCTCCCTCAACATCCAAACCACCAAGTCAAGCAAAGATATGTTCATAACCACCTAACTCAGGGCGCTGCCCCACCCCTACACTCCACCAGCACATCAGCTCCCCAGCCCTCTCTCAGTCCTGACACTCCTGCTCCCAAGTCATGTGGCTCCTTCCCAACAACTTCCCTGTGACTACGATCAACGAATTAGTCTGATTTGGGGTCACATGGGTTCTCTTCCATGTTGTTGGCAGGTCCTCCACCTCAGTCCCTGAAGTCACCTCCTCTAGGGCTTCGCCTTAATCCCAGGATGGAGGGACACCCAGAACTCTTGCCACAGTCTTCGCTGGGCAGCTGGTGGCCCCAGGTGAAACAAGGCCTGAGGGATTGTGAAGTGCCCTTAAGGCCTGCAGCAAAAGGCTCCAGACCAACTTTGGCAGGCCCTGAAAGGGAAAGAGGAGAGACCCAGTACTGAGTGCTTCATCCTCAACACTGGCCCCAAGTCGTGGAAGCCTTTCTGGCCCTTGGAGAAGAGATCCAACCTGGTCTCCATCTAGGTGGCTTCCTGGGACCTGATGCCCAAGCACAGGGCAACAGCCATATATACTGAGGTGGTTGGACTGGATGATCATGAAACATCTCAAGACCAGAGCCCATCCCAGAAACTGGTCCTTCCAGGAGTCACTGCCTTCCAGAAAAAGGCCAGAGGACACACCCTATGATAACATGGCTGTCTAAAATGGTCCTTCAAGAACTAGAAAGGAGGCAGCATCAGTAGATATGTTAGCTTTTTTTGTTTTTTAAAAAGGGAGAGATTTTTGCCCATTGGCAGCTGATGGGTGGGAATGCGTGGAGAGGGAGGCACTGGAAGGGGGGACCAGGGGGAGCCAGGCTTCTGTGTCTGGCAGGGGAGATCCAGGCCCAGGAGAAGGGTTCCCTTGGATGGGAGGAGGGGAAGCTCTTGTAAGAGAATTAGAGCAAGACAGGATGGGCCTGGGAGCAGGTACATTTGGGGAATTTCTGGAAATCGCCATTGGAGTTTTCTGTTTTCTTAATAAAATAGGGAGTGAGATCATCTTTGGAGCAGGTAGGGGAGGAAGGAAGGAGCACTGTTTTACTGGGCACTTCCTATATGCCAGAAACTATACACTAAGCACTGTACTCATGAAAGTTCATTTAGTATCGTCAACAACCTTATGAATCAGATACTATTATAACTCCCTTTTATCAACACTAACATTAAGGCTCCGAAAAGTGATATGACCTACCTAAGGTCACCTGGTTATTTTTAAGATTTATTTATTTATTTATTTATTTTAAAGATTTTATTTATTTATTTGAGACAGAGAGAATGAGAGACAGCATGAGAGGGAGGAGGGTCAGAGGGAGAAGCAGACTCCCTGCCGAGCAGGGAGCCCGATGCGGGACTCGATCCAGGGACTCCAGGATCATGACCTGAGCCGAAGGCAGTCGCTTAACCAACTGAGCCACCCAGGTGCCCCAAGATTTATTTATTTATTTATTTGAGAGAGAGCATGAGTCAGGGTGAGGGGGGCACCCAGAAGAAGAAGCAGATGAGAGTCTGAAGGCAGGGCTTGATCCCAGGACCCTGAGACCATGACCTGAGCCAAAGGCAGATGCTTAACCAACTGAGCCACCCAGGTGCCCCGGTCACCTGGTTATTAAATAATAGTCAGGATTATAATTTTCCCAAGGTCCTAAACTCTATGCTGTTAATAAAGAGGCAAACACCAATGGGACCAAATCCCTGAAGAAATGGAAACCGCTTTAGAGAGTTGGGGGTCCAGCCTCTTCCTCCAAGTAGGAGTAAGAGGTGCAGTCTGCAAGCGTTCGCTGGGAAGAAGAGTCTGCCAAAGATCTCTTCCTGTGTCCTCCGTGTGGTCAGGGATGAGGATGGCCAAGTGTCTGCCACTAGCAAGAGGAGGGGGATGAGGAGTGAGGTGAAGATTTGAGGTGATTCTGGTGAGTGTGGGGTCAGAGAGGAAGCTCAGGAGGAAGGAAGTCTGTACAGAATCGCGGATCCTCCAGGGTCCAGAGTCCCTGAGTGTGGAGACCTTAAGGAAAGCACCACTCTCAGACCTTGAGAACCCAGCGGGCAGTGAAGCAGGAGACTAACAGACCAAATAGCACGGGGACAGGAGGGGTCACTGCAGGGCTGGGGAGGGAGGGGAGGAGGGTGCTGGTGGGAAGTAGGGTTGGGCCAGAGGCCCGGGACCTACAGGCAGTGCTGGGGGCCAGTTCAGGTTCTGCTAGAGGCTAGGGCCACTTCCTCCCCACACCAGCCAAAGCAGATTGGGGTTTTGGATGACTTGGATTTGTC